ACAGGGGTTCAGGGATTAGTTGGCACAGGCCAAATTGTCTAGAAACGAAGTTGGGTTGATAAGCAAAAAGGAGGATTTGATTCTTAGAAGGAGTGATTCGTGAGGAGATTAATCTGGGAAGCAAAAAGGCTTTCCAAATATCTTGAATTTCTTTGCTTTTTACTGCTTCTGAGAGAGCCATGGTGAACCATGATGGTCCATGAGTCCTTGAAGCAAAGGGAGTCATGGTCTCTTCGAATTTGTGTCTCTTGTAGAAAATCATGATATAGTTGGAGAAGAGAACTTTGAAGTCACCTTATCATCGTTTGGGGTAAGTCTTCGCAGCCTAGTACCTTCAATGATTCTATCCGCTATCTCCGGATCTTGTTCAACAATAGTGTTAGCAGTTGATAGTGAGGGTTCAAACATGGCATTAAGCCATAACTGGAGTAACCAGAAGGGGCCAGCTAGAAGGATGTTTTTGGGAGTGTGGGATTTCAAACTCGAAACGGCTGATCTTAAACTTTCATAAAGATCAACAAGTAACAGTTCGCTTAAACACACCCTCCGATTCTCATGTAAATCTCTAGCTAGAGGGATGAACCTGCTGGCTACCTGTAAGGACCTGCTGCAGAATACATACCTTGATAACCATAAGGTGAGGAAAGCAATGTGTTCCACATCTGACACACTATCTCCTTCAGTGTGGTAGTGGCTAATGAACTTTGAAAAGCTGGCTAATTTGACTTCGAAGTCAATAATGCTCGAGTGCTCTTCATTGTCAGGAATGTAGGTTTCTCCTACTGGTGAAAAACCAGTAATGGCTGCTATATCAAAAAAGGTGGGTGTAATCATTCCCCCAGGGAGATGGAAGGTGTTGTAGGTGCTGTCCCAGAAATATAAGGATGCAAATAATAATGGATGGCTATAGGTGAAGCCTGGTTTCGATAATTTAATCAAGTTGTAAATGCCTAATTCCTCCCATTGCTGGGATTTCTTGGCTTCTACTTTGGTAAACCAGTTTTGGTAAGCTGTGTCAGGGGTAGGGCAGGATCGAAATGGTTTAAAGTTACTCTTCACATAATCTAGCACAAAAGGATCCTTTGGGGGAACGATTGGAGTTCCCACGGTTGTTGAATCAGAGGACTCGCCTGTCTTAGGGATATCCATTTTATTAAACAAAGGCTTAAAATTATAACAAACAGGGAAGATTTTTCTAGTATCTTTTAAGATTTCAAAGACTGTAAGAGGACCCATTAGAGCAAACCTCTTTCCAGTGGCGTAAGTGGGAATTAGTACTTGAGATGCGTAGAGCATTTCCTTCTCTTTGGAGATCATCTGAGGGATAAGCACAGATTGACCTTAATAGGTGCCAACCTTGCTTTCCATTATGGTTCCTGTGTTCTTTCCTTTCTTTTTTGAAGCTTTTTTCAGTTGGGATGATGTTGTAGAAGACATTGTTGGAGACTGTTGGAAGTTTTAGGGTTTCGGTGAGAAGAGAGGAAGAAAAGATTCAGAATGTGGAAAGAAAAAATAAAAGACTAAGTTGATGGGTTTTTATAGTGTGGAAGTTTAAACATCCACTGAGTAAGATTAGGATACGTGGGAGTCGTGGGTTGGATTGAGAAGGAGGTGGCGTAAAAGTTGATATTGGTAATAGGCGTGATTAATAATAATCATTGTTTTATAACTGTACCATGCTGTGAAATACTGGTTCAAGACGGTTAAGGAATCTGAAAGGCGTCGTGATTGATGACTGGAGTCATACACAATAAATGTTACGATTACTCAAAGGTCACATCAAAATCTTGCATATATATTTAAAATAAGTATTTCTCAAAGGATCTAAATACATATTTTAAAGGGGCATTTTGTTGGCTGAAGATTTTGATGATACTGTTCGAAGCGAAGCAAGTTGGATGTTTCGTTGGAATAAAGCAAGATGTCATGTTTCGAAATGGTAGAAGCAGTGCTTCGAATGGGCATGTCAAAGCTTGGAGCTTCGAGTGACAGTTATGGGCATATATTCAAAAGAAGTCTCGAAGTGGTAACAAGGCTGTGTCCAAGAAATGAGTTCGAAGCGAAGACTGCCAAAACATCTGAAATTCAAACGCAAGCAGGATGTTCGAAATTTAAAATATATGCGCTGGAGCATTCGAAGACGCGTGGAAGCTAGAGAGGGGCAGTGCTTTGCATGTTCTGAACGTGGAAAAATCTTATAGGAAAGACCGTTATGGTCGAAGTAGTATAAATAGAAGTCTTAGCGTTAGGATTTCGTGTGTCATATCTATTGTACAAAATTCAGTAAACATTCAAAATACCACATGGCTAGGGAAACGAATGCTCGAACAATGTACGTATGATAACACCAAATATTTATGATTTCAGCAAAAAACTCTTTATCATTTCCAGTTTATCCTCTATCTTCATGTCATTATCATTCAAAAGCCTTTACATTAAAATCTTTTCATTAAAAGTCATTTACTGATTTCTTGCATTTAAATGCTTTCTTTCTATTTCAAATCCTTTACATTTCAGAAACTTTTGTATATTTCATGCTTTTATCTTCATGCTTTTATCATTCGAATACCTTTTCATCCAAAGTCATTTTACTGATTTCTTGCATTTAAACGCTTTCTTTCTATTTCGAATCTTTTACATTCCAGAAACTCTTTTACATTACATGCTTTTATACTTCGAAGTTATTTACTTGTCTTTTTGCAGTTTCACATGTCTTTACAATTGAACCTTTATTCATGCAATTTAGTTTCGCACGTATTCACTTGATCAAGTCATTAGATCTTTAATATGGTAATTGAAGTAAGTTGAACACCTACACAACATTATAAATACCAACCATGAATATGAGTTCTACAATGAGAATTATCCAAATGACCAATACACCATAGGATCAATCTAGTCGATCCTGCAAGTTACCAGAGAGATTAAATAACAGTCATTAAGATTATTTGATAGTTTGGAGGACTAGCGGTTGTTTACCAGAAATAACTGTAAACACTACCGTAGTTCGGCTCATATATTTTGTTTGTTTGTATTTTTTAAATGAACAATGTTGCATTCTATCATTCCACCGCTGCTCGACCTTTGGAGACTTACAATCTGTAGTGGAAAGGAGCTAACATGATCTTAGAAGAGAAAAGTCGAATGGTGAAAAGAAATGGATTGGTTGGTATTTTTTGTTATGAAAAGTATTTTTGTATGCTTAGCATTCTTTATACATTTGCCAAGAAAAAAGAAGTTTTAGTTTTAAGTGCAATTATGCAAAAACAAGAAAAAAACATCTAAGGGAGACTAACCTATCTCTAACCTAATGTTATCATACAATGAGGGATCCTACCTAAGTTAGCATGCCAAAGAAAGCCTAATAAAACTATCCTATAGGGAACATGCACTGAGAGCGAAGTCGTGATCTCAATTTCTAAATTGAGTGACTCATCGATCAACAAGAAATAAAGGAAAGCGATAAAATCCTATAGGGAGCATGCACTGAGAGAGAAGTCGTGATCTCAATTACTAAATTGAGTGACTCATCGATCAACAAGAAAGGAAGGAAAGCAATAAAATCCTCTAGGCCCATTTGATTGAGTCCAATAGCATTTTTTTTGTTTTGTTTTTATTACCAGGCTTTCCAAAAAGTGCAATCGGCTTAAGGTATTCATTGGGCAAGGCGCAATCCAAGTTGAGACATCAGAAAATTACTAATGCCAAATAAAGAAAATAAAAATTAAATTAAATAAAAACCCAATCCATAAAATGGTGTCGCTTCGCTTAGCGTGACCCTTCAACTTCTTTACTCAACTCAGTTTCTCTTTCTCGTTTTCAAGCGGAGATTTCCGAGGAGCATACCGCCACGAACACCACCACTAAACCAGCCTGAATCGCCATGGTTCACCATGTACCTACCTCAAAACACCACTCTGAATCCAGCTTCACCATCAATTTCTCCTAAAGAGTTCGTGGAGCCTGAATCTTGAAAAAAAAAACTGAACCCTAGATCGCTTCAAAGGTAAATTAAATGAAGATGAAGTTCGATATCGCGTCATAAATAAGGGATCAAATTCTCTGATTTCGCATGTATTCACGGGATAGAAGAATTATGGCGCACGAAACCTAAGCTCACTCAGTAATGAAATCGTGCGAGAAATCAGTGAATCGATCTCTAACCATAACACAACACTAAGAGAAAGTTAATACAATCATCATGATGCCTACCTCAACACGGTGGCGGCGAAGAAGCGTTCGAGATTCACAAAACCAGGTACTCTTTGAAATTCTTTACTTCTTTTAGCTCCGGATTTCTTATGCTCTTCTTGTTCTTCTATCTTGCGATTCTTCTTCGTTTTGATTCTTTGATTTTTTCGCGTAACTGAATTATTGTGTTGTGTTGCCTTTGGTTGTGAATTGTTAAGAGGTTATTGTTATCTGAGTGCTTCTGGTGCGAGCGGTAACAGAGAAAGGTTGATGATGCTGATTGAAGATGCACATTGATGAAGAATTGCAGGATCTTGAAGATGAAGATTGAATCTTGTGCAGAGAGGTGAAGATGATAAAGCTTTGAAGTAGTTGATGATGGAGATTTTTTTATTAAAAGATGAAGAGGGTTGAAGAATATGAGGATGATGCAGTTGCAGGGAAATTTCAGAGAGCCCCTTTTGGTGAGTTCTCTCATGTGTTTTTCTCTATTTTTCTTCTGAATGATTTTCTTGAAGATTTTTCTGAGTTTTTGTGATTGGTCCCAAAAAAAATCCTGGATCTGAGATGCGTTCTGTTATATGGATCTCAAAGTTTGTTAGATTTCAGTTAATCTGACCTGTTGAATTCCTGAAGTTTGTTAGAGGAATGGATGGTTCGGACCAATTTCTATTTCTGAGTTAATATGAAATAGAAATTCTATCAAGAGTGAACTGTCAAATTCTGTTTTTTTGTTCAGACTTTCAATTTCATGATTTCTTTTTCTGATATTTCCTTTTTATCTTCTGATTCTCTAATGCATGGCTATATCACAGTTTGTACAATATCTGTTGGTTTGGATTCTTTAGCTCATCACCGGCCACCAAATGTCTTTCCATTGATGCGGGGACCTGCCATAGGTGGTTTTCAGAAAGCTGCAAAGAAGAAGTGCAGCCCGGCAGTTCAGGATTCCTTCCAGAAAATGTCATTTCACTTTCTGTGCCTTTGTAATGATTCCTTCCTGATCCACTTGGATTTACAAAAATGATTGATTTTTCTCTTATTAGAAATTCTATTTCCTGCCAAAGGCTATCAACCTGAGCACATAAAGCATCATTTTGTGGGTTTTTAACGGTTGGAGTATGATCAGATCTTTGAAGTTGCCTTAAAACCTTGAAAGCACCAGATACAAGACCAGATACATCTGGCAATAGACCTTCCTTTTTTAGCAATTGCTGAACCAACAAGACCTGCACCAAGGAGAATGGTGATCTTCCCGAGTGATAGAGCCATGGTGTGTGGTCAGTGAACCTCCACGACTAGAGGAACACTCTGATGTATGAGATTTACACGGCTAAAACGGTACCACTTTAGGGTTCGGAAATGAGGGATTGTGGTGGTATTTGGATGTAAATGAATTTTGGTTTATGGACTTTGATGTAATATATTCATAAGCTGGATTGAAATTGTCACTTTTATGTAATTTTTTGAATGGTTGAAAGTGTAAATGTTCTTAGTTCTTGATTTTGTAATAGCCATGGTTGAATCAAGAAAAGAGACTTTGAATTAATTCACTTGTCTTTGAATTTATTCTCAAAATGTATCTTGAATGAATCGCGATCCCTTCTTTAACCTTAAGTTCAAAATCTTCTTTTTGTATCTCAAACATAATCCAAATTCTAAACAAAGCCAATTGACGAATCACTTATATTATGAGTACAAGAAAACCAGGAAAATCATCCACAAGTCCTGTAACATCTCTCGCATATATCTTGTTCTTCAAGCAAGTTAAATGATTTATCCTTGAATCACATTAAAAACTTCTATTCCATGTTCATCTTAAATCAATCCTTAATGTAACTCGAGCGTTCATGACAAGTCGAAACTCAATTGACTTCAAATGGCATGCTTGGTCAATGAACCTTAATCTCAATTGGATCCATAAATTCTAGTCATCTTGCATTTGAAACAAACATCTTTTATTTGATAAAATGAGCTAAATAAGCTCCTGACCCTATCTTGAATCAACCGTTAACAAAGCCTAGAACTTAATAAGCCCTTGAATCAATATTAACTCTGAGCACGATTAGAAGTTTCAACGAATCCAGATCACTAGTCATTTCTCTCAATAGTCCCAGTTAACTTGCGATTGAAGTAACAAATATTTGATGAGAACCGAAAACTGTATAAGTCCATAATGTTGAGGAAGGAGAAACTCAGGATAACCATAAGATCGAGCCCTAATACAATGATCCCCAGTTGAATCATAACAGAAGAAAACTCTAATTCTTAAGCATTGAAGAAAGATTACAACCTGATGCTGAGGAGAGAGAATATCCTTGTAGTTTGATGATAAAGAAGTCCAGGAAATAAAATCCTAATTCGAACAAATGATTGATGGAGAAATCAACCGAAACAAGCTTGTGCAAAGATAAGAGCCTTAAAGCCATTCAACGAACCTAATTCCCCGAAATCCCTGATCTCAAGCCAAACTATTGACTAATGATGCATGACGCGTCAGATGACCTAATGAAGGTTAGGTACCTCAATCTCAATTAAATCCACAGATTCTAGCCACCTTTCATTTGAAGCGACCAACCTCCATTCAGAGAGAGAAACCCTAATGCCAAAGCTCTTCGATCTTATAACCACGAGACCAATGCTATGTGCGAAATGTATAAAGTATGATGAGGGATCTTAGGGGAAAAATTGGGGTACAACAACTGCCCTTATTTAAGTGTCTTCTATCCGGAGATATGAAGATTAAAATCTTCGTTTCGAAGTGATTGAAGATACTTAAATATAAGGTAGAATCTACAATGCGATGCTTATGATTATGGATGTATGAATTTCACGCAGATGGGCCAGACGCGTACTGGAGAAGCAAAAGTAGAATCTACAAGTTGACAAAAGAATTCAATCAGGACGCTAAATCTCTGGAGAACAATACGACTCCTGGGATAGAAATTTGAATCTATTGGAGACAAATTAGTTCCGCTGGGGGAAAGAAAACTCAACCTTACTGGGGGTAGATCCCGAGAGGAGACAAAATAACATAAACTTCAAAACCGAGGGGAAAGTAATGGTGACAACGATTAACCGATAGATGTGAACTATCCACTCATAAAGGAGATAGCAAAAAGAGAGTAACATCGACACAGGGGATCGACAGTCGTTAATCAGAAAAGATCAATCTTACCTAAGAATGGTAATGAACTACCCACTCAAGAATGAAGGTAAAAAAAACAAACATAGGTCAATACTGACTTTTATTGAAGATAAAGAAACAGAAGATACACCGACATTTACTGAAGGTGGAGAAAAGAGAATGCGCCAGCTTTTACTGATGGTGACGTCTCAAAGAGTAATAACGAACTTCCCAAAATCCCGGCGTTCTTCCTAGAACGAGTAAAAGTACAAGCTATCTCAAATAAAGAGACTACCACTTGTAAAGATTTCACAACAAACTTCTCTTGCGAAACTTCCTCGAAGAGATACCATTTGATGGAGAATCAGATAAACTTCCCCTCGATCCAGACTATAAGCCACGAACTGGTCTCAGTTTCTTCTTTAACCAAGATATTTCACCTGGAAAGGGTAAAAATACAAGCTATCTCAAATAAATAGACTACCACTTGTAAATATTTCACAATAAACTTCCCTTGCGAAACTTCCTCGAAGAGATACCATTTGATGGAGAATCAGATAAACTTCCCCTCGATCCTGACTATAAGCCACAAACTGGTCTCAGTTTCTTCTTTAACCAAGATATTTCACTTGGAAAGGGTAAAAATACAAGCTACCTCAAATAAAGATACTATCACTTGTAAAGATTTCACAACAAACTTCTCTTGCGAAACTTCTTCGAAGAGATACCATTTTATGGAGAATTGGATAAAATTCCTCTCGATCTCGACTATAAGCCACGAACTGGTCTCAGTTTCTTCTTTAACCAAGATGTTTCACCTGGAAAGGATAAAAACACAAGCTATCTCAAATAAAGAGACTACCACTTGTAAAGATTTCATAACAAACTTCTCTTGCGAAACTTCTTCGAAGAGATACCATTTGATGGAGAATCAGATAAACTTCCCCTTGATCCAGACTATAAGCCACAAACTGGTCTCAGTTTCTTCTTTAACCAAGATATTTCACCTGGAAAGGATAAAAACACAAGCTATCTCAAATAAAGAGACTACCACTTGTAAAGATTTCACAACAAACTTCTCTTGCGAAACTTCTTCGAAGAGATACCATTTGATGGAGAATCAGATAAACTTCCCCTCGATCCTGACTATAAGCCACGAACTGGTCTCAGTTTCTTCCTTAACCAAGATGTTTCACCTGGAAAGGGTAAAAACACAAGCTATCTCAAATAAAGAGACTACCACTTGTAAAGATTTCACAACAAACTTCTCTTGCGAAACTTCCTCGAAGAGATACCATTTGATGGAGAATCAGATAAACTTCCCCTCGATCCTGACTATAAGCCACAAACTGGTCTCAGTTTCTTCTTTAACCAAGATATTTCACCTGGAAAGGGTAAAAATACAAGCTATCTCAAATAAAAAGACTACCACTTGTAAAGATTTCACAACAAACTTCTCTTGCGAAACTTCCTCGAAGAGATACCATTTGATGGAGAATCAGATAAACTTCCCCTTGATCTTGACTATAAGCCACGAACTGGTCTCAGTTTCTTCTTTAACCAAGATGTTTCACCTGGAAAGGGTAAAAACACAAGCTATCTCAAATAAAGAGACTACCACTTGTAAATATTTCACAACAAACTTCTCTTGTGAAACTTCCTCGAAGAGATACCATTTGATGGAAAATCAGATAAACTTCCCCTCGATCCTGACTATAAGCCACGAACTGGTCCCAGTTTCTTCTTTAACTAAGATATTTCACCTAGAAAGGGTAAAAATACAGCTGTAGGAATCTTTTAACGAACTGTCTTTATCATTAAAGTACAACCAAACTCAACAACAAACTATCTCTTATAATGACGAGACTACCATTCATTGGAGTAACAAATTTAAGCAACGAACTACCTCCCATAATGACGAGGCTACCATTCATTGGGAAAAAATCTTTATCAACGAACTACCTTCCATAACGACAAGGCTACCATTCATTGGAATATCAAATTTTCATCAACGAACTACCTTCCATAATGACAAGGCTACCATTCATTGAAAAAAAACAATATTCATCAAAGAACTACCTTCCATAATGACAAGGCTACCATTCATTGAAGAAAAAGATCTTCTTACGTTAACAGACTTACTGGGAAGAATAGGTTGCTCAAATAAAGAGAACCGCCGCTTTCCGTTTTAAGAAGGAATTGTAATAAGACTGGCGAGAAAAGAAGCTCGATTTCCTGGGGAAATACCAATACATTCCTATTGAGGAGAAAAAGTTTTTACGTGCAAAATAAATGCACAGTCTCAAAGCAAGGCTCGAAGCCTGCAGAAATCAGAATAATAATGTTGTCGGGAACTACAGACTCAAACCAGAAATAAACTGGAATGAAAAAAAATCAACCAAGTCAACACCCGATGAGAAATAAACTCAAAAGGGGATTATACTCCCTCCAAATAATGAACTGAATAGGAAGGCTGAAGCAAAAAATCTTCCATGAGGGATAACTCGGTGGGGGAAATTGAAAGGATATACACTTTCTGTTTAATATTGACAACTCTATTGGAGAGAGAGTAACATAACTTTGCAAAGAGGATAATATGCTGACAAAATATCAACGAATGCAAATGAGTGATGAGTTTTAAATTCATTTATGCATGATGTGTATGAATGCATGGATGTTATCATGCGCATGCTGACAAAACAACCATAATGTACTGGGGATAAACCAACAAGTCTAATCTTGAGTGAAGACAACACTCGGCCAAGTCACATGCAGGACGAAGATTAGATTCCACGAGAGGGTAAGCATCAATAAAGGAAACAAAGTCCTATTTCACGGCCTAACTTCGCTGGGAAAAACATGGCTTGAAAACAATCAAAGAACCACCTGACTAACAACAAATAAAGTTACGGGAATACCATAAACTCTTCTATGTCTCACTGGGGAATACCAATAAGGACTTTGATAAGGGAAGAGGAAGCTTCATCGTCTAGACTTCACTGGAGATCCCAAAACCAACTTCACTAGGGGAAGATGACAACCATGTCGTTGAGACTTCAACTGGGGATGTCAATACAGACTTTACCGGGGAAGATGCAAAACTACATTGTTGATACTTCAACTGGGGATTGTTATGCTAACTTCA